TTAATTCCAAACAGGTGTGCAGAGGAGCCACAGAGACCGACAGGAGGACACAATATAACGTATGCAATATGAATCAGGCTTGGGATCTTTGTTGCATGTCATTGTAATGGTCATTTTTAGAAGAGAATAAAAGAATTCTAAAAGAATGGCGATGTGTCAGTAGGAAGAAAACACTAAAAAAACAAGCCTATTAAGTACGTACGATTGTTTCAAATACATAATACAGACAGATATTTGTATAAAAAGTTCCTAAAAATATAAGGAAAACTCTTCTAGAATGTAAAATTCACAGGAAACTATAATAATTTGGGTTCATTGTCACAATCAGTCAGTTCACTCAGTGATAGAAAAGGTTGGACACCACTGGTTCAGATCATAAAGGAGAATCTAAACTTTAAAAATAACAATAATGATAACAACAAATAACAACCGCTGTGTGAAACAGAAGAAAACAGTGTAAGAATACAGTCACGGCATGTCTCCGTGCTCATACTGCACACTGCTGGTTGTTAATGCCATTACTGTCAGGCAGGCAGGGAGCCTGTTATAAGTGATGAGTTTCACACGATGTTTTTATTTTTCACACATCAGAATCAAACCCAGCAGAACAGCTGCTGCATAATTCATGTTTTTGGAGTAAATGATTTAGATAAACAACACGCTTCCACACAGCAGCTACAAACTCTGGGCCCCTGACAGCAGCTCACACGGGAGCTCCGAGAGAACGAATAATCCCAGCATGTTCCAGGGGCCCCTGTGCAGCCCCCCCAACCCTCCACAACAACTTCAACATTAGTTCACTCGCATCTCTTCTTCCTCAGTGTGTGTGTTCCTGTACAGCCGTCCGTCGTCGTCTCACCTCAGCCTCCGCTCAAACGGCCTCATGTAATATTCAGAGTGTAAGAATTAGTGAGGGGACAAGCGTTAGACACCTAGCTAAAGGGATTGAACGATCACAGGAATAGTAGCATTGGATCTATTAATTAGGTAAGCCAGCTAAAATATTTAAATATTGCAGCAGCCAGAGATCTGTGAGAAGTAGGACACCACCGGAGGCGTCATCTCTCTCAGTTCTACGTCTCTGTCTCATTTTCGTCGATCTGTCTTTGAGCCTCTTTTTTTTCTCTTTTAGTGTTTTTTATCCTTCATTTATTCTCTTTGATTCATTCTTGCTGTGCTGTCTGAACTGAAGTTAAGTGAGGATATTCTGAAAAGAGCCTTTCAAAACAGCATCTGAGTGTCTAAGAACAGCAGTACTACAATACTGCTACTGATACTGCTAATATACGACAGTGTAGGCTCTCTAGTATGGAGAATAAAAATGGAGAAAAATTCAAAATAAAACTAGGTAGAACAGAAAACAACCTGCAGCTCTTTAGCTGCTCTCAAGTGGCTTCTGTGGTTCATCACTACAGTTATTCTTATATTGTCCTATTGTAAAAGTGTTATTACATTACATATGTTTTTTTTTTTTTACTTGTGTGACGTCCAAAGGTGATTAGTTAAAGTTCCTGGGACCGACCAAGCACTAAATCAGGGTTTTTAGAAGGAAAGCGAGTCGCTGGGTGGTGAAGTTGGGCTGTCAGAAACAGAAAGGCGGTTGTATCTGCTTCACATCTGTTGGGTTTATTGGTCTGATATCATGTAGTCTTAATCTGAAGGATACAGATAAACTAGCTGTTAGCAGCAGGCAGCTGTACATTACCTCCCCAGCAGTTAGCGACTAGCTGGTAAACATAGTCGAGTATAAAGCCGCTAAAGAGCCAGATATTTTCCTCAGGAGTTGGTGGAGACCAAAAAATGAGCTAAAAGTGAGTGAATGTTGGACGTACATTCAGGACATAAACTCCAGTGGGATGCTTGAGTCTGTTGGAGGTGGAAAGAGGCTCTTTTAGGACAGATTTCATATCTTATTAAACAATTCTAGTACAATGTACATAAATTATTTGAGTTCGATTGCATTACTTTCAAATCTAGGTATATTTTACTAATTTGTAGACATATTTGGTTTAAAATTGACCCTAACAACTTTAAACTTATTTACATTACTTTATCTTTTCTTACTCCTCTCATCCTTCACTTCTCTCCCAGCTCCTCCCTCCCTCCCTCCACCATGAGCCTCCACTCCAGATCAGTGGCAGGGGTGGAGGTCTACAGTGACAGCGCCTCCCCGGTGTCTCTGAACTCCAGCGTTTTCTTCAGCGAGTCGACGACGTCTTGCCTCAGAGACCCGCTCGACTTCTTCATCATCAACGTCGGAGGAAGTCGCTACGTGTTGTCGCAAGAGCTGCTGGCATCCTACCCGGAGACCCGGCTGGGGAAACTAGCCTGTTGCGGCCGAGACTCGGCACTGGAGCTCTGCGACGACGCCGACTTCCTGGAAAACGAGTTCTTCTTCGACCGAAACTCACAGACCTTCCAGTAGGTGGCGCCTTTTTCTCTTCCCTGAGGCCTGTATAATAACATTATCACATACAACACATACCCACATTTCTAATGAGCCTGATCTGAGTACATCATACTCAATTTGGAAGTGCAGAAACTTTAAAACGAGGGTAGTTTCAGCACATACAATGTCTCTCTGCCACCCACCAAACTCACAAGCTTAATGGCTGCAGAAGAAGTTGGTTGCCATGAAACATCATGGGTTCGCTCTCTGTGACGCGAGCTTCGCCAAGACCCGGGCCGTCTAACAGCGGGATGAGAGGGTTGTCCAGACATCCTCTGTTTTCACTAGCGAGGGGCAAGAAACAGCAGAGATTTCGGTGTGAGTGATGTGTCATATTATTGGACTGTGACTCCAACCAACATGGAAAAGCACATGGGACGTGCTCAGACTTCATCACACACACCCTTAAAGGTTATTCCCCACTGAGCTGCAGGCTGAAAACAACAAGACACACATGATGACGTGTTCACCTAATGCTTCCTGTGCGTTTCTGCCTCGAGTCAAACATTAATGTGAGTCACAGCAACACCTGATGTTCAAACTGGAGGTTGTCTTCACAGGTGTGCTGTCAGCTCCCGTTAACTGATGAAGTCCTGATGGCCTTTAAACAGTGACGGCCGCTCTTACATACAGCTCACAACCCAAAATAAACTCTGGGCTCAGCCAGGAAATAGCTCAGAAGTCTTTCTTTCTGTCTGTCGTTCTATCATTTCAGATTATAAATATCTGCATTCATTCATATGTAAAACAGTTTCCAAGCATGCTTTTGGAAGATACTCAGAGGGATTAACCCCTCTCATGTCTTTGCATTTACATCTGATGTTAAAGGTGGGGTCAGTCATTCTGGAGAAACATGTTTCATGAGTCTCAGTTCCAGATCGTCAACCCAAAACGTTGATATTCGACGATCTGGTATCATGTCTGAGCCAGTTTGTGTGTTTCCTTTTTACCATAACCCAAAACTTCAGTATTTGATGACCTGAGAATGAGATTTAAAAATCAACAATCTTTCTACAGAATGAGTGACCCCACCTTGAATCCATTCCTGTTATATCTGTTATGTATTATTGATGATATTTTCCCTTCTGTCCATAAAAGGCTCTTTTGATAGTAAAAGTTGTTGACCCCTGGATTAGATGGAGGAAAACAGTGCTTTAACTTATAATGTAAGAAGAAAATCAGAACCAGTTTTCTGGCATTAATGCTGGCCACCCTCATCAGCTACAGAAGGGCTCATCTTTTTCAGGTTGAGATTGTGACCTTTAACCAGAATCCATCTTGCCAGGCTTGAGTCTGTGCATGTGTTGTGTGCTAGCATCGGTTATATCAGACCTCGGGAGTATTTCTTCATTGAAAGAAGAACAAAGAACGACACTCAAGGTTTGTCTCAATGGAAAAGATGCTTCCACAGACTGGCTTTGGTAAGATTTGACTACATTATGAGGTTTGTTGATCTGACGCGTTGAAGTTCAGTGCGTTGGAGTTTTCCAAAAACAACTTCCAGTCAGGCTACAGCAGCATTTCTTCTTGTAGACTAATCAAGATAAACCATCATGAAACCCAGTAGACTCAACGTTGGAGGTTCTTTGCCTCCATTTTGTGGCTTATTTTGTGAATAACTATTACACTCATTGATTACTTCTTCTCTAAACCTTCTTTTAATATCTGTTCTGACAGAATGCTACCTATCTGTGTGTATTCCTGCTGACAGGTACGTGATGAACTACTACCGGACGGGTCACCTGCACGTGAGGGAGGAGCTGTGTGAGATCTCCTTCCTGCAGGAGATCGAGTACTGGGGCATCGACGAGCTCCGCATCAACCCCTGCTGCCGTGAGCGTTACTACCGCCGCAAGGAGCAGAAAGAGACCCTCGACGTACAGCGAGACTTTGAGCCCGAGGACGACGACGAGAACTTTGTGGGTGCCGCCTGCCCGACTCTCCGTCGCCACCTGTGGGACTTCCTGGAGAAACCCGAATCTTCGCGCGCTGCTCGCACCTTCGGCTCGCTCTCAATCTTCTTCGTGGTGTTGTCAGTCATCAACATGGTGCTCATCTCTCTGGACTTTGGGGAAGATTTTGGTGTTAGCGACATTGGTATCGACCCACCGCTGCTGTTCGATGCCCTCGAGTACGTGTGCGTGGTGTGGTTCACCGGTGAGCTGGTACTTCGGTTTCTCTGCGTAAGGGATAAGTGCCGCTTCAGTCGAAGTATTCCCAATGTGATTGACCTGCTGGCCATCCTGCCGTTCTACGTGACGCTGGCGGTGGAAAGCCTCCATGGAGGCAGCACAGAGCTGGAGAACATGGGCCGTGTGGTGCAGGTCCTCCGACTCCTGAGGTCGCTCCGTATGTTGAAGCTGGGACGACACTCGACAGGTAAACACGTTTAAACAGCAGCCTTAAAATGATGCTTTAGAATTGGTCTCTTTACTTGACTTGTGTCCTGTTCAGAAGAGAAAACACTATATTTATTTTTAGGCGTCACATACGTTTGGACCAAAGTTTCAGGCTGGTTCTGTTGGTGTTGACAGTGAAGCGACAGACTTTACTGTTCCAGTTGCTGCTCGCTGTTTTAATTAATATCATGTCACACATTATTAGACATCCTATTACTACAGAAGTTGATCAGAAGTTGCTATATTTATTGAAAAACTATGATTATAACTATTTACAGAACAAGTTTTTGCATAACAATTGCTGTATTTACAACTACTGACCCATTTTACTTGTCTGATACTCTATATGTATCGTACATTATCTGTACCGGATACTCAGTACAGGGACCCGTTTTAAGAGCTAATGTGGGGCCCTTCTTTACCCTTCACGGCAACTGCTGTTCTGCATTAAATAGTAATATGTATGTCGTATCTATCAGCTGACATAAAACAGATTAAACAATTCCCTCTAATTAAATTAACAACAAAAGCAATTCCATATTTTGCTTGGGAAGGAAAAGTGTCTGAAACTACTGGTAGTTTAATCCATTATGTGCACTTTCAGCATCACAGACAGCTAAACATAGAAATAATCCAAACAGTTCTTTTAATTACAAACTCAACTAATCACATTTTTGCTTTGGAAGAAAAAGCCTCGTCCTTCTCGGCAACCCTAACTACTAACTTTATTCCTGCTCACGTGTGTTAAAAGACTCACTGTTGATTCAGTCTGTTGTAGTTCTGTCTGGGACTTCAAACCTCCTTCGCTTGAGTGCTGAGAATGCTTTAATAAGTTCATCTTTGTTCAACAACCTTTTACTTCATGCTTAATTGAAATCAGAAAACAGACGCTGCTTGAGCGTGGTTGTCCTCAGACGGGTCTCAGCAAGTGGCGAGCGCCCACTAGTTTTGGTTGAAACGGTGTCCAGTGTGTCATTCTTGAATGAAGCAACCACAGCCTGCAAGTTGCCACAATATAAACATTATATATTTTTAAAAAGTGGGTGAATTATTAAAAGTTGGGGACACGAGAGACACAAACCGAGGTTTCACTTTCGGCTTACGTCAGATTGTCTTAGAGGAAAAGAATAAATGAGAACAAAAATAAGAGATGGGTCATTTTTAAAACTAGATGCCCAAAAATTCAGATAAAGACTCGACTGTCTCGTACACACTTCCTCGTGTGAGCGGGTGAAGTTCCATTTTCTGCCAGATTGGACCCGACATTACGCCAGGTTCGAGCCCAAAACTGCTGCAGCAGTTCGGGCTCAGACAGGATTAGATTTCTTTTTTAAATATATTTAATATATCATGAATAATGCATACAATTCTAATTAATGAGTGAATTTGTTATTAGTTTTGCTAATACATTGGCACAATGTAGTTTACTTTAGATGTAATAAACTAATTATCTTGCACAGAATGTTTTTTGGGCTCGGGTCGGGTCGGCCTGATTTTTTGGGCCCAATCAAAGCTCCAGGGGAAGTTGTTTTGCTCAAGTGATCAGCAGCTGAAGAAGACTTCCCTCCATACGCCTTCCCAGCCTGTCAGGGGAAAAAAGGAATTGAAATCCTCCTCGGTGAGAAGCTGCTGCTGTGAGATTACAGCCGGGAGGTTTCCAGAGGACGACAAAGAACAGAAAAAAATATATATTGATTCATATTTTGGCAAATTCCTTCAGGAGATGGAGGAGAGAGAGAGATGATATATGTGTGTGTGAGAGAGATTATATGTGTGTGAGTATGTGAGTGTGTTAGACTGGGACGTGTCAGTGCTTTGATCTGAGGGATTTTAAGAAGGATGATGATCCCTCGACTCATGAATAATGAACGAGAACATGAAGGGGGAAAAGGAGAAGGGAACACGAGACAGGAAACACAGGTTACATTTTCTTAATATAATACTAGCATGACAACATGTGTTATTGGTCGCTCATGTCCACACTGGTTGTGAAGAGAGTTTATTAATTATTATAAGCCCAATTATGCATCCAAGTAATTCCTAACGATCCCCCAAAGTGTAAAGATTTGATCGCAGTCACATAAGAAAACACTGAAAGTTAAAATAATTTACGTTTTGTTCAGTTGGGCAACCGAAATATTAATTTAAGGGAACCACTGAAGTCATTTAAGGGACTCAATGTCTCATTTGTCCCAATGAACCAGTGAGTTCATAGCAGCTCTGTGGCCAAACAGATCCAGTGTGACGCTGACGAACTGTGCAGACATGAGGATGAAGATGTTAGAGATCCACTCTCTTCTCATCTGTCAACATCAGGCCCGAACTTCTTCCCTCGAAGGAGACAAAACTGAACATTAAAGATAGGCGGAGGGCCAAAAGCAAGCCCTGTGCAACTGTTTGTCTGCCCGCTGTGCTCAGATTATGAAAAATAATTAATGATTCTACATATTTAAAGAGCATTTTCACCTCATAAAAAATAAAACAGCAATATTTAAAATTAATATTAAGGTTTCTGTCAGTAGTAACATCAAAGTGAACCCAACAGCAGACCAACTTCTGCCTGTGGGGCCCATTTTGGGAACCATGTGACCATCAGATTACAACAACACGACATATTCTGCAGCGCTCGTTTATAACCTCCTCTTCTCAGCAGGATCAGACTGAAGCTCAGCACAGTAACAAAACATTTAGTAACAGAGAGAAGAGTCAAAAACAGCCCTTTACAAACCAACCAACCAAATCAAATCTAAAAGACGGTAATGGGCCTTAAAACTAGAAAAATACAAACGATTTAGGCAACTCAGTTATTTAAGATTCTTAAAGTAAGTATTTTGGTCACTTTATTAATTTTAGATTAAGGCACAAATTCTTAAATTCAACTCAATAATTAGCAAAAAAAATCTTATAAATAAGACGCAGTTTTTAAATTATTTTTAAATGTGTGTCTATTACAGAAACTGAAAAACTCCTCTTTTAAAATGTCATATTGACTTTCATATTTTAATATAAGCTGATTTGCTTCCGATTCTGTTTCTTAAATCTGTGTAAATGTAAGGAAGCAACTTTCCACAGCTCTGTTTGTCTGCTGCACCAAAGAAAACTTCTTTATGAGCTCATTTCAAATCCTCTCGACACAAAAGCTCATTTCTTTTCCTCTCAGAGGAGAACGGAGAGATGACAAGTCATTCAGTGGTGTGAACGTCAGCCCTGTGAGCGGCCTCACGTGTGGGTGTATTTATAAATTAGCTGTTTCCTCGTTCTGCAGCTCGTTATTTTCTCCTGGCTGAGCAATAGGAAGGAATCGAACCCGGGAGCTGATGTTTGTTCATTCCTTCCGATCTAAGAGAGGGTTTTTATTAACAGCCCCTCTCCACACAATGCATTACCACACGAGAATTAAGTAAGGCCTAAATTAAATGTTCCCTGTGATGGATTATTCAAATCAGTTTCAAGTTTCTGGAGGCAGATTTTCGCAGCGTTCCTGGAAGCTAGACGGAAATTCAAACTCAGAATATGATCTTCACATTTCCCCTAAAGAGCTGTAATTTGTGAAGACAGTCAGAGCACCGTGGGTCAGTGATGGAGGAAGTATTCGGGAGTAAACGTACTAATAACAAACTGAAAATACTCAATATGCATTCAAAACCTTACTTTAAAGTCTACCGGGAACATTCAGTTGTTATTGAAGTGGTAGTGTTTCTACCTTGTTGATTTCATTGACTAAAACTCCTACTTAAAGTATTGTGCATTAAAATGTTCCCAGTCAGTGTTTTACTATGAATCTGATGGGTTTTTTTTTTACTTCTGCATTAATGAGAATGTTACATTTTACTGCTGTAGATGTTAAAGGTTGAGATTTCAGCTACTTTACACACTGTTTAGTTTAATCTACAGAAATCTGTCATGTTCTATAAGATCATCATAAGATCGGAGCGTCTTGCTGCATAAATTGTGTATTTTGTCCTTTCAAGGATGAAAAACTGTCTCCGCTTCAAATCTCCTCTGACTGACCTCTAAATAAGGCTAAAGCGCTAACTAATAAAGACAAACTGGCACAACAGACACTAAACACAGATACTAAACACACAAGGGCCGAAGGTAATGAGGCACACAGAGACAGGAAGTGTCCGTAATGAGAAACAAAGGTGTGAACATCAAAATAAAACAGGAAATGATGAAAAGGAAGACATAATCTTGGACAGGGATGTCACACAGCTGCATAGGGTATTTTATTTCAAAAATTGACCGGATTCTGTCCTCGTGTCTGTCCAGGTCTGAAGTCTCTGGGTATGACCATCGCTCAGTGCTACGAGGAGGTTGGCCTTCTGCTCCTCTTCCTCGGTGTCGGTATCTCCATCTTCGCCACCGTGGTCTTTACTCTGGAATACGACCTTCCCGCCACCACCTTCACCAGCGTGCCGGCTGCCTGGTGGTGGGCGACCACCTCCATGACCACGGTCGGCTACGGAGACATCCGGCCCGACACCACTGTGGGGAAGGTGCTGGCCTTCCTCTGCATCCTGTCCGGGATCCTGATCCTGGCGCTCCCCATCGCCATCATCAACGAGCGCTTCTCCGCCTGCTACTTCACCCTAAAGATGAAGGAGGCTGCGATGCGGCACGGCGAGATGCTGAAGAGGCTGGCCCGCGGCTCTGTGGGTGGGGCGAGCGTCAGCGGAGGTGTGAACCTGAGGGACGCCTACGCCCGGAGCGTCCTGGAGATGTTGAGGCTGCACGGGCGAGAGAGGGTGAGCACCCGGAGCAGCGGAGGAGAGGAACTGTGGTGGTAGAACCAGGAGAGCGGTCGTCACCCAGGAACTGTGCTGTTAAGGGATAACAAACACCATCCGGAATAAAGCCGCAACTTTTAGTCAATTAGCTGATAAGTGGATTGATAGAAAATCAATGAGGACCTATTACTTTTACTTACTTCACTTTACTTGACTTGGCATGATTCACTCTTCACAAACATTCTTATTTATCTACTTACGATACTACTAGATACTGACTTCATGCAGCCCCTCAGTTCATCCTCTATCTGTTCATCCTACTGAACAAAATATACCAGAATATCCGGAAACATCAGCGTGATAAGAACGACCCAAAATGACAAGAACCGTCTTTGGGAAAGAATTATTTGACTTTTTTTTTTATTTGTCCCATATAACATGGATATCCTGTAGCCAGTCACCAGATAACTGTCATGTTGTCCATATTTATATGTGTCGATGGTCTGAGACAAGTCACTTAATTAACCCGTTTAGCTACATTAGCAGAAACTAAAGCTATATGTCCGTCAGTAAACTCCAGAAGTCACCGTGTTCAAAAAGAGATGTTTATAGAACAGAGTGTTTAAATTTAGACGTGGATGTACTGTGCCTCGATGCATTAGGTCATCCAGTTTATATGATAGCAGTATCTTAAAACAGAGTCAGCTACAGCCTCTCAGGTGGGACGGCCAATCAGATTTCAGTGCAACAACACAGGAACTCAGGATCTGACGTTCACTGTGAGTATTCGGCTACCAGGATGCTATAAGACATTAAAGATCTCACTGTTTTCTGATGTTTCATAGACTGCAAATAATCAGCAGATTAATCGATAATAAAATAATAATAAATAATAATAAAAAGCTCTGACTTTGGGTTTTGTACACTAGAAATAAGATGCAGGACTCAGAGCCGTTCTCTGTCTGCTCTCAGAGGTCCTGCTCGGTGCTCAAATGTAGGTCAACTCTCAGAAAGTTGAAATATTCAGAAGGAAATCTGTGAAACATTCCTGTCGTGTTTCCCTGTGGTTGCGTCTCATCTGCTGTGGACTGATAACGTGTATTTTGACAGTATCGTCTCTATTCAGTTTTACTCATTTAAGTTACTTTTATTAGATAAATTCTGTTTTAAAAAAGTTTGGAGAAACGCTGCATATGAAAGTAACTTCAATTAACTGAATAAAATTAGTATAATTAACTTAGCAATAAATGAAAGAGTTACTACTTACTACACTCAAATATCTTTCATGCTTCAACTGTCTGAGTGAATAAACTTAAAGGCAATCGGTTTGAGTTGAACTAACTCATCAGAAATGTGTTCTCGTTCCCCCAGTGTGATGTTTGATGTCAGAGTTTGACACTCGGAGGAAAGTTTCTCTGCACTCATCTGAGTTTATGATTTTATTTTAATTTGGTTCAAGCACTCTGAGATGTTTTCCGCCACAACAACTCTCGATTCAGTGGGAAAAAAAACTATTTCTGTGTTCCCATCCATACAAAACATTATCTCTGTGCACCACCTTGGATAAAACCCTTCTCCGAGAGCACACATGCATTAGTAAGTGTTGTACAAGTCAGTATAAAACCCTACAGGCTGTGTTTTTTTTGTCACGCTACCTTGGTGCTTCTGCTCTCTTGTGTAGTTTCTGTTCTCATTCTGTGAATCAGTCATGCAATAAAGGACATTCTCTGTGGGTCACAGTGGTCTTTTCAAATATCACAGTGATGGCCCGAAGGCCTGAATAAAAACACTGAGCTGCTGCCAGGATGTTTTCTGCTTTCTAACAGTCTTGTTTTTAGATTAGCTGCTGTATGTATCAGCTAGGTTTTTTATTTCCCAAGGAAATCAAATTCAAAAGCTGATCCTGAGTCTGTTGTTGTGTCAGTGGTTGGCTTGTTTTTATCACTCAGGAGAACATTGTACAATCGTTCCAGGATTTCACAGAAGTTTTTAGGCATTTTTTGCAAAGAAATTGCAGCAAATTGCAAACAATTGTTGCGTGTTGTGATTTAAAAACATTAAACATTTTTATAAAAAATCAAAGGCTGGGATGCACGAGAGCCCAGAGCGGACAAACCCTGGCTGCAGATAAAGTTGGAGTTTTGTGGCCACCGTAGTTTCTTCTCCTCGTTCTCACTCCAAGGACGCCAGCAGTGTTCACTTAGTTGCAATCTGTAACTTCACCATCAGATGCCACTAAATCCTAGACACTGTCCTTTAAAAGGGAAACTACATGTATATATATGTACAACCTAGATAACAACCTTCCTATGTTTCTTCATGTTGTTGTGTCTAAGAGACAAATGTGGACAACAGTTTTTGAAATGAGTCCAGTTCTAAACGAGAACGAACGTAATCCTCCGAGCCAATTGTGCAACGTATGTCCACTGAGATGTTCTGTTGGTTTCAGAACGTAAGATGATCAGCAAACTGTCAGCTGTGTGTGTGTCAGCAGAGGTGAGACAGTCTCACCTGTTTTAAGCCTCGTTTGCATCCATTTGTTTCACAGTTTGAACAGACACCTCTCGTGTCAGTCTGAGGAGGAAAGGTTGCAAAGAAATCAGTGACAGCGTCCAGCCGACGGCATTTCATTAGTGTGTGTGTGTGTGTGTGTCAGTAATTATATAACACAACCTTTCCACACACCCTTTTTAAGCCCTGACACGTTCTCTCCATCTCTGCCTTGCACTGAATGCATCATTTACACTTTTTATTTTACACTTCTATTTTTAAGCGTTCAGCTGATTCTCGCAGGTATCTGACAAACTGTTGTAATAGAAGCAGCTGTTCATTGTTTTAAATAAAGAAATGCTAAAAATAAGAATATTTCTGGTTTCATTTAAAACAAAGTCACTTTTATTCTGCTGTTTGAAGAAATCGTGTCTTATTGTAAGAATTTGTGACCAAAATACTTAAATAACTGAGTTTTCATAGTCTTTGATTGGCTAGATTTTGTATCATTCTAGCCGAGCATCATTGTCTTACTCTGCTGGCAGATTTGTTTTGCTCAATAAAACAAAGTTTGATTATATTTAAGAATATTCAGCTTGTTTCTAGAAGGGTCAAAGCAGACTGGAAGGATGGAAACAAACCAAAAGTAAAGTAAAAAACTAAAATAAAAGTTCCCGATCTTTTTTTCTGTTCACATCTCAATGAAGTGTTTTATATAAAAAAAGCTTTTCACAGACGATAATATATTCGACACTAAGGCGGCAGACAGTCTGCTGTGTGTGCGGAGAACTTCATGGTTTCACTTTTAAGATAAAGAAGAAAAGAAATCCACACTTGAACTCTCCGTTCACTGAACTGATTAAAGCCGACTTTGTTTTGGGACATGCTATCACATGGTTTGGGTAAATTATAGGGAAGAATATTCCTTATTTGCGTCCTACTTTTAAATGATGACTCTTAATTGATCATAACTGCTATGAAGAATAAATCTTACGCCTCATATATTAACTCAAAGACATTTATTTATTCAGAACAAAGGGCAGTCAGGGAAAACTGGGCACATATCTCTTAGTTAATTATGTGCTTTCTTTGTGAATATAAATGCAAATATATAAATGTATGTATGATATTTTTGGCAGCAAAGTGCAGCCTGGAGAGAGCTCATCTTCCAGTCTTTATATGTTGTTTTTGATGAATATATTAAAGAAAAGAGCTGCGAGTTTATGAAAGGAATGCTTTTAAGTGGCTAAAATGAGAACAGTTTGTATGTGAAAATCAACTCCTTACATTATTACTGCTTTAGTTTCACCGCAGCACCCTCACTGTGAGCTCTCTCTGGATAAAACTCGCTTTCTCTCCTTAATGTTCCAGTTTTTTTCCCTTTGCTGTGCAGCCAGAGGCATCAAATGGTGAATTCAGGTCAGTTGTGAAGGCAGGAAGTCGTCTGACGTAGCCGTGGTGAAGGAGTGAGACCGTTCATGAAGCCACTGGTGGACAATGAAAGTGCCCTCTTAGATGCCACTACAGATAAAACATGATAAAGTCCCCTCCAGGGTAATAATACTAACTCTGACTAAGCTGTTTCACCATAAATGTGTCTACCATGTGTGAAACTAATTGGGGCTGGCTAGCATTAGCCTGGACAGAAGCCAACATGGCTGCCTTGAAATGTGTCATTTATACAGTCTGACCAGATACTGTTACAGCAGTTTGTATTTCACAACAGTCGGGAAAACCCTGACAGTTACGGAGGAAGTACGTTGGTATGTCGTTATATCCATAGTTTGTCTCCAATGAAATCACTAGTAGATGGATTTATTCAACTACAGTAAGTGATTCAATTAAAGAAGTCCATAAATAAAAATATTAGACAGCTTTAGATATTTCTATTCAATGCTAATATTTAATTTCCTCCAATAATGTGTGGTTTTGAGTTCAAATATCTTCATTTGGGTGTTTTTTTCCAAGCAAATATTGATAAATCAGATTTCTTTTGTGATTAAATCAGCATATATTACTGCCACCCCCTAAAGCACTGGTTCCCAAATAAATTAAATTATAAGTCAGTTAGAACAATGTCCATGCATCAGAGCAAAACACTGAATTTGTCCAACAAAAAGAAGCCTATTAAGTATGAATGATTGTATTATGTATTTTTATATTTTCTAACAGACAGAATTGTATAAAAAGTTCCCTAAACAGGAAATAATCGGCTCAAAATTCATCCAAATCTCTGGTTTTACACAAACTGCCTTTGTAAAAGGTTGGGAACCACTGCTCAGTGTCTGATGATGAATATTTCTCTGCAGGTTGAACAAGTTTGCGAGGTTGAAGGAGAGAGAATATGAGTGTGTGCAGCCAGCGCACCGAGCAAGAGTCAGTGAGAGTTATTATTCACTACTGTGCAGATTCTGGCTCCGAATGGTGAAAGATGGCAGATAGAAGATATTTTGGCTTCATTATTGTACAGTGTGAGGGAGTGGAGACCTCCATATGTCTGTTTGAACCCAGATGTTGGACTCACTTAGTTCAGTTCAGTCCTGATCAGAAAAGGTTCATGCGGACCTGTTGGGTTCTGTATTTATTCCCGTCTGTGCCGAGGTCCACCAATCACAGTTTCTGGTGCTTTGAGCTTTACAGGCAAATCTTCTGTCCTACTTAACGCTGTCTCGGTTCAGACAAGCTTGTTATCCCCTAAAGCCTGTTGTGGTTCCCCAGAGAACCTTATTTTTCCACTAAGTTACAGCACAACACACGGCTCCGTCTCCTCGTGTTCTCTTTTCATTTTACAGATACAGTCAGAGGGGCAGGAGAGGCACAGGACAACCTTTTTAAAGTACCAACACTGCGGGGTAAAAGATCTTTTTCAGTCACTCAACAGGATCATAAATTAATGTCTTTACCTGATGTGTGAAAGTCAGAAAGTCACTGGAGAATACGAGTGTGTTAATTGAAGGCTTGAAGGTAAAATATAGGTTTGTAGGTTTGAAGAAAAGACATGTGATGATGGATGTGGTTGGTAATTAAAGATCAGGCTGTTTAATTGAAGATAACACTCTTCATAAGGCCTTTAGGATTCATCCTCAGGGGGACATGAACGTCTGAAACAAGCTTCTAGTTGTTAAGATATTTCATTCTGAACCCGAAATTACTGCCCAGCACCCACATTATATTAAAGTCCTCTGACATTAACATGAATCAGAAAGTGATCAGCAATAAAACAATGTTAACAATCTAAAGACATTTAATGTAAATCAAAATCTGATCAAGTGAAAGAAAAGCTAATAAAACGGTGACATTACAGGATAGTGTCTCTGTTAAAAGATCACTTTTATGGTTCTTTAAAACTTCCTGGATGTGGACGTTCAGAGACTCTTTAACAGACTATTAACCATTCAAAGTGCTGTGACGATCAGAGTCTCCGCCTGTCATAACAGTTTACCTCTCAGCTGTTTTTATTCCCTCCGGTGTTTCCTCCTCTCCCTCCTCTGCTCTGATGAAACTCTGCTGTAACAAAAGACAGATCCTTCAACTGAAGTGACCTCGAACCGCCGACAGTCTGCCATCGGTTTACTGGGGGGAAGTAACTAATTACATCTGCTCATGTGACTATAATTAAGTTGTTTTTTGGGATATTTTTGTCTGTAATTTGACTCTTTATTAAAGGTCCAGTGTGTAACAGTGAGGAGGATCTAATGTTTCTACAGTGGCCCAGAACGAACAAACCAAACACTGACTCCAGATAGTAGTTTCTCCTAGATGCTTCACAGCCCGTTCTCGTTCCCGTGTCGTCAAATACAGACGCGAGTGGTATTCAGTCACACTGTAACACAATGACTTATTTCAACAAGAACATTTTAAGTAAAACAAACTCAATTTAAGTTAACAAAAACATTCTTGATCAAGTATCTTTAGTAATTTTGAGTGCGAAAACACAAAAGATTCCTATTTTCAGGTGATTACACACAAATGAAAACATGAATATGATATTTCTGCCAATAGATCTTCCTCTCAATATTACACACTGGACCTTTACGAGAAGTAAAATGTCAAATGTCCCCTGTCGTCCTCCTGGAGTCGTTCCTGTGTGATGACACGTCTTCATGCCCGCCGGCGTGTCCCGACTCCGGCCTCCCTGCTGGGACTTCTGGTCCGTCTGCTCTGCTTTTAAAACAAGTTTCCTGAATTAATTTAGCTCCAACGAGGCCACACAGAGAGGTTTTCACTGGGTCTCAGAGGCTCTTTGTCTGATTGTGCAGGTTTAGCCAGAACCAGAGGCGTGTTTGATGCAGCTTTATACTGAATGTGTACAGCTACTGTACATAGGAAGCCCGGTGAATCCACATATGTTACATAATGTATGACATTACATTAAAAGCCTCAACAACTGAATTTTTCTGTTTTCTTCTGTTCAAAGCTTTGATTGATGTGAACTTTTTATTATCTCATCAGACTTTTATCTCTCCTCTGATGTTCCTTCTTCAGGATATGAGTCTTTTATTGCTGTGGATGTCAGACAGAGAATAAGAAACTCAGTGGCAGAAAGAAGAACTTTTAGTGGCTGTACTTTGACGGGCTCATTTGACCTTGAGGATTAGCTCAATAGCTCGATTTGTGGCTGTTTCCTCCTCTAATTGTAATTACAGAATTTATTTCCACCAAACCAGAGTTATTGATTGTTGGAAAGACTGACAGAGACGGTTTTGGTTAGTTTTATTTTGTTTACTGTCGGTTTGAGGTGTTTTACGCCGACCTGCTGGCTAAAATGACTGGTTTTATGAATGGAGTCTGGTGAGCCGTTTCAGTCTGAGACGCTGCTGCTCTAGTGCGCCATCTAGTGGCATATTATTCAAATGTTCTAATTAATTAAATAGGCTTCATTGGCAGGACATTTGGAAAGTGTTGCCAAAGCACAATTACTATAATAATAATGTTAAAGAATCAAATGAATAAAACAATGTAAATAAATTGTTTGTATCGTTCCCCAAAACAACGTAAAAATCCTGAAGGGACTCAAAATCAATCTAATAAAATGTCTTGGAGAAACATTTCTCATATTTATTAATTATTGAGTTTCTGAGGGAAAAAAATCATCTAATTCTTCATCAAAGTCAATCAGAATTGTGTTTATTGTCAAGTAGGTTTTCACTTACAAGGAATTTGGTAAATTGGTGCATAACAAACATAGAAAAATATAAATAAATAAAGATAAAATAGACAATAAAAAGAAAAAACATATACAAATATATGTAAGCACCTGAACTGTACCTCAAAATGTAAATAAGAGTAATACTTGTCATAAATAAAGTGGAAAATAACTGAGCTGAAATCAAAATGAATCTGCATTAATTATTTTGTTGTTATATTGTTTGGTTGAGTTATCAAATGCTAAAACGTGACAAAAACAGAGAAATCAATATTAAAAAGAATTATTAGTTGCACTTAATGTCATTTAGATGAAATAAAAAATCACTTTTATTCATGTCAGCATCTCAGAAATAACGACCACACCAGAGCGCGCGCTGAGGGAACGACTTTCTCCACCTGCTCAGATCATTCCTGCTTTCCCATCATTCCCAGCCTGGGACTCTCATTAGCCCAGTTCTGTTCAGTGAGAAGACGTTGGAGGTGGACGGAGATCGTTCCAAGGACGAAGCTGCAGGTTATTCCCAGCTGTGACGGGGGAAAACCAGGCCAGGCTCACATCCTTCCCTTCAAACCGTCCTCGTCTCCTCAGGACGATACAGACTGAAGTGGGTCAGCTTCCACACACCTACAGTATCTGATATTATAAAGGATAATCAAACACACCAGAAATCCATCCCGTATGCTGTTAGATCTTTATATTTCTTGGCCTGAAGGTGGTGCTGGGGAGTCACTGTCTCCAGTATGTTTCCCGGTAATCTGGCCTGTAATTGTTGAAATATCTACAGTAGCTAAGATGCTAAAACATTACAGTGACGCTATAAAAAGCTCAGCGTATCAAATCACGTTTTTTGGCACGGAGAGATCTTTGAGTTACACTTTATATTCAGGAAACAATTTACAGTGTGATATACAAATATTGTTTTGGTTGTCTGAAGGTGAAATGTTGCTCTTTAAGGAGGACTCTCTAATATAAATATAAACTATTATTCATACATCAATCACATACTGGTATACATTTACTTCTGTATTGTCATATATTGTATATATTGTATTATTATACATATATATATATTATATTATACTAGGTTCCTATTGTACCTGTTTCTATTTTCAGTTTACTTATACACCTATACCTATATACCTATATATACATTTTGTCTTTCTATATGTATAGATAGTGTTAAATGTGATCATGTGAGCACCTTGAACAACTGTAACAACTGATGAGGACAGCACTTGCTCACAGGCCTAGCATCGACTGTAACTCCAGTTTGTTAATGACGGAGAATCTCATGTTCATCATAACCCTTCAAAGATCGCTGCAAGTCCGTGCGCGTCTGGTGTAAACAGCTAGACTGACTCACACGGCCGAAATGAAAAGGGAGCGTTAACCCACTTTGAAGTGTCGTACCGCTACAAACTGCTGAGTTTTAAACTAAATATTCACCATTAGGTTAAAGATATATATTTTTTGGATTATTTCCAGAATATTTATTCATTTTAATCAATTTCCAGGTGTTTCCACGACAAAAAAAAATTAAAATTAGTCTCTAAATGTCCAGATGTTCCAGACATTTCTGTTGTTAAATTGTAATCTATGAAATATTTTCTTTTTTGAATTTGTGGAACTGCAGATGGTGATTTGTCATGTGGCCTTAAAATCACGATGATTGATTTTATTAAAGTGTTCTGCATCAATCAAATATACATAAAAAGCATCAGTACTCTTTAATGAAAGTGCTCATCGGACGGTGCCTGGTGCCTTCTGACCTCCAACTAAGAACTGAGGCGTCCTTCAGTGATTTCACTGATATTCCACATATTACACTGATCCCACAGAGATCTTCGGCTGCTGGTGGAAAACACCGGTTCATCCCAGTGGATGATGTTGTTCTGTCCTCTTGGGAATTAAACTACATGTCCAGAGTTTCTTAACATTTATTTACCAGTTCAATTCATTTAACTACATCTATTACGGGCAGCTGCATTACTGCTGTAAAATAACAAAACAAAACACACATTATACCAAATAAGTAAAATAATAACCGAAGGAAACCGTTTGACCGTCAGCTCTGGTTCTGGGTCTTGGAGTGGTTACACTTCCGGTGGCATATGAAGAGACTCAATCTCAAAAGAGCCCGGGGTCCCGGAACAGCCCTCATCTCCGTCAGCCTCCGTAACCCTGGTCGGACAAAAACACAACGCGGCCATTAATGGTGTGACACAAACTGTAAACTCTAGAGTAAACGTCTCCAGCTGCTGTTAAAACATCTGTCTGACGTCCAGCGGCTCCGTCAACCTTTCCCTCCTTTATCCGAGTATTGAGTATTGTATTAAACCATCCGGGCCGTCACCTCGTCCGATTCTGATGTTCCTCCATTTGCGCCAGTTCCTTTTGGGACATTTGGTCGACGAGCGCCACGCCGATGCAGTCGCTCAAAACGTTGACGACAGTGTTGCAGCGGTCTCTGGAGAAAGAAAAAGACATAAATCCCAATCAGGTATGGAGGCAGAAAATACAGCTCAGCTCAACACTGTGTACTGTCGGTACATTAAGCCCAGTTCATGAAGTTCATCAAGTTTTATCAGTTGTAGCGGTGTAACTAAAGTAAAGCAAATCCCCTGTTCAAGTGATTTCAACAGCCAATCAGCTGGTTAGGTCAGTTACAAACAGTCAGCAGGTAGAAGAAAGAGAGGATCACCTGTGGACAGCTCCAAACCCTCGACCCTCTCATTTTATTTAGATCACTCACTATCACCATATTATTATCATTTTATATTTATATTCAGCTTTACAAAAAACCCTGAGAAGTTGTTGCAGTGGAGATGATAAACTGTCTTGTCTCGCTGCAAATGTTTGATCTGAACTCAGCTTTAAAGGACCAGTGTGTCAGATTTAGTAGCAAACGTGGAGGAGAAACTACAGTGGCCACGAAACTTGAAAGTCCCTATCTATTGCCAGTGTTTGGTTTGTCCGTTCTGGGCTACCGCAGAAACATGGTAGTTCAACATGACGCCACTAGAAGAGATAATAACGTCCCATTCTCAGGAAAGGAAAACACGATTCATATATTCAGGTGATTATACACTAATGAAAACATACATATGGATATTATATTAAATTTCTGCCAATAGATCCTCTTAAATGTGACACACTGGACCTTTAAATTTCATAACATCACATTGACTATATTATGTAAAGAAGCAGAATCTCTACCCAAGTTACTCATTAGAGATTGCAACATTTCTGACTTTAAACTACTGGTAGAAGATCAAAATAGTCAGCTTGGAACAATAGTGGAAATATATAAATATATATTCCACATTAAAATCCTTAAAAAGACTCCTTCTACCTCATTAAAACTTCCAGAAACTAGGAATATGCAAAAATTCATTAAAAGTTCATTTCCTGCTGGACACAAAACTGTAAAGTCCATCCTCAGTGTCTGAGCACTGGTGGATCTCACTGTAGAAGGTGTACTAGACCAGGATTGACCTCCAAGGTATTTGTGATGTCACAAATCATGCTCGTAGGCCCCGCCCCTTAACAATCTGATTTCCAATGAGCTTTAGAGAAACTTTCTACTTTCAGCAGATGAATGTAAAAACAAACTCGGCACAGACCTCATTCAAACATTTCACTGTAGGAACAACAAGAGGAGGGGAGTTTGAACGTACAGCAGCCATTCTACAACCACCAAGATGGACGCTTCCTTTGCAGGTAAACCGACTGCAGACAGAACAAAGAGGGTGGTCACCGCTCCTGTCGCCGGGATCCCTGCGGCTCCTGTACTGGAGACTGCTGCTGTCAAACTGCAAAGCAAACACACAGAAACTCTTCAGTGAGTGGAAGTGGACACAGTAACATCAAACTGTCCTGTGTGATGTACTTTCATGTTGCTCCGGTCGCGACTTACACGATGGTGGTTATCTGGCTCATGTTCAGATTGATGTTGTTGAGTTGGGCGATGAAAACCACTGCGACCACCTCGTAAAGGACCGTCCCGTCCATGTTGATGTTGGTCCCGATGGGCAGCATGAAGCGGCTGATCCTGCAGTCGACCTTGTTTTTCTCCTCGCAGCATCGGAAGGTGATCGGCAGCGTGGCGGAGCTTGGGAGACACAGTGGGAACCGTTTTAAGTGCGTGATAACGGCATGAGCGCACAGAGATAACATCAGAAAGCTCTAAGATCCCCTTCCTACCTGGACGAGATGAGCACTGCGGTCAGTAAGGCAGGAGAAACTCCCTTAATGATGCCCCATGGGTTGCGTCTCACGCACAGAAGATAAAGCGTTGGTAGAACTAATACTGCGTGGATTATGAGCCTGAAACACACAATTTAATACTCAATGAGCAAAGGTAGGGCTTAATAAACGCCTTAAATAACAAACCCAAAACAAATCAAGATCAGCTCCCCAACAATAAGGTATTTTATAAATGGAAAAATCACATTGGCTTTGTGTAACCCTGCAGCGCTGTGTTATCAGGAACAAGTATATCACTAGTTGCTATGAGGGTCTGAAATGCTGCTGAATGTGCAAATAAAATGCACGTATTTTGGTACGAGTGCTGGAGGAGAACATACCCAATAACAACCACCGCCATGAACTTCCCCAGTTTGTAGGTGGTTTCCCAGTCGTGAACCTTGATGACGTGGCTCGCAATCATGAACAGAACTCCCACCGGCAGGTAGCTGGAGGGAACAACACAAGAGAATCAGATGGACGCCATTGGCAGCTCTCTAAAGTGGAGCCGAAACATCTCTATCTCCCCCTGGTGGCTGACTGCAGTATAGCTCATAAAGCCTCAATGTTAGCAGATGGGACAAACTAAAAAGATCTAAGTCAAATACATTTTTGATGATGTCATGATGTTTGTTTACTTTTAGCATCAGTTTGGTTTTAATTAGTAATCTGAAGATATAAAAAAGGGTTTTTTCACGCCATCCCAGATCATTACAACACTGACAGCAGATATAATGGACAGAGCTTCCAACGTCCATCTCTTTGTTTCACTTTACCACAAAATCCAGTTGACCACGTTTTTGGTCATCTCGTTGAGAATGATGAAGAAGTACGCAAGGGTTTCCCCTCTTTCTCCCATCCACTTCAGGGTCAGTCCGAAGAGGAAGGAGTACACAATCAGGCCCAGCGTGTTGACTCCATCAACGTAGTGACCCACCAGTTGCACCTCGGTGACGTTCTGAAACAAGGCGGGGAAACACGTCAGTAACAGCGGCCTGAGAGCGACTGAGTGTGGACGCAGTCTTCAGGCTGATGAGGGGGAAGAGATTTACCGTGTCCGCACTGGAATTTGGGTCAACTGTGTGCACTCCAAACTCCAGCCTTTCCGTCTTGTACTAGAAGAAGAATGATAATGTAAATATCACACTGTCACCTCGGTGGAAAAGCCAGGAAATGGTAGCGGGGAACAACATACCTGTTGGAAGCAAGCCTGGATCAGATTCTGCGGTATCATGTTCCTGCAAAGAATCCAGAAAAAGGTCCAAATGAGTCTAAAAAGCTTGTAAATGTGGACGAATTCATCCTAATCTCAGACATAATGTCGCTCTCTTCCCACCTCACGAGATCCAACAAGGCGTCCACGGTGGTGAAACTTTTCGCGTCTTCTGCCTTGCTTTTGCTGATGGTGTAAGCAGCTCCGGGCTTCATCAGCAGGACCAGTATCAGTCCTACAACACAGATCCAGGGTCAGACATGAATCACTCAGTAAACTTAAAAATAAAATAAAATTTCCAACAACTGATAAACTGCACAATGAACCCACACTGGGAGCACGTTAACCACGTTGATCTGGGTGAATTTTGAAGTCCAACATATCGAAATAAACAAATTCCTTCAGTAAAGTCTCGTTACCTATAGTCACAGACACAAAAGTCGTGGAGACAAAGTACACTGCCGCACGCATGGCTATCTTCCTGGAGGTGCCAACACTCAGAGCAGAGACTCCTGTAAAGACATAAAGACAAACATAAAACACAAACTGAAGGTCAGAGGAGTCAAACACGAGCACACATTAACTCTATAATCACGATATAATCACTGTTAAATGACCTAACAGAGTGAGAAATATACCTGTGTTGCTCACCTGTTATCACACTGGTCACAATGAGAGGTACCGTAACCAACTTAAGCAGATTGATGAGAACTTCTCCCGGAAAGCCGATGTAGAACTCTTCCCGCTCTGACAGAGTGAAGCAGGCTTTGGCAATCAGGCCAAAAAGGATCCCTGTGTGGGAAAATAGACATATTCTAATTCTAATTACAACAAATGGTATATTTATATATAAATATATACATATTTATATATAAAATATATAAATATTTATATAATTGCATTATGTGAACACCTATTTATGCACCTTCGGCCTTTCAAGCACTGGATTTGACCATGCACCTTAGGACAC